TATATATATATATATATATATATATATACATATATATATATATACATATATATATATACATCTTTATATAATATATATATTCCTATACATCTACATAAATTTACATATCCGATAAAAAAAACGAAAATAAAAAAAACAAAGAGAGAAAAGAAAGAGACAAAAAGAGACAAAAAGAGACAAAAAGAGACAAAAAGAAACAGAGAGAGACAAAGAGTTTAACAAAGAAGAGACAGCAACAGACGCGGCTGCGCTTGCTGTGCTGCTGCAGCTGCTGCTGCAGCTGCTGCTGCTGCTGCTGCTGCTGCTGCTGCTGCTGCTGTGCTGCTGCTGCTGCTGCTGCTGGGCTACTGCTGCTGCTGCTGTTGCTGCTGCTGCTACAACCCGCCCTTAGAGACGGCTGCAGAACCAGCATTTTGTTGTTGCTGCAGCAGCAGCTGCTGCTGCTATTGCTGCTGCTGCTGCTATTGCTGCTGCTGCTGCAGCTGATGCTGCTGATGCTGCTACTGCTGTAGCTGCTGTTGCTGCAGATGCTGCTTTTCTTGTTCCTGTTGCTATTGCTGCAGCTACTACTTCTGCAGCTGTTGCTGCTGCTGTTGCTGCTGCTGTTGCTGCTGCAGCTGCTGCTGCAGCTGCTGCTGCAGCTGCTGCTGCTGCTGCGGTAGAGTATATATCCCCCCAAGCCTTGGTGCTGTTGTTGCATGCGTAGGAGGCAAGAAGGCTGGGCTGAATTGTGGTGCTGCTGCTGCTGCTGCTGTTGCTGCTGCTGCTCTGCTGCTGCTGCTGCTGCTGCGTGGAGGCACTGCATGCGTTTGCTTCTGTGTTGTATACAGCACGGGTGCTGCTGCTGCAGGTGTATAAGGAGAGAAAACAGAAGGAGAAGATATGTGTAGTTGTGGTGCTAGCTGAGGTGTATATACACCTGGTGGCCCCATAGGCAGCCTCCGCTGCTGCTGCTGCTGCTGCTGCTGCTGCTGCTGCAGTAGATGCAAAGGAGCAGCAGGAGGCAGCAGATTGCTGCTGGTTGCATGCAGCGGCTTTGAGGTGTATAGGCAGGTAGAAGAGAGAGGGGGTCCAGAGGGGAGTGAATAAGAGTAAGGAGACAACAACTTCTGCTGCTGCTGCTGCTGCTGCTGCTGCTGCTGCTGCTGCAGTTGCTGCTGCTGCTGCTGCAGCGGTGTAGAGAGAAAAGGAGTTTGCTGCTGTGTAGCAGCAGATGCATGCAGCGGGGGCTGAGAGGCAGACGGAGAAAAAGAAGAAATCAAAGAAAAAGAAGAGCCAGACACTGCAGGCCGAGCAGGCAGCAGCTGTACATACACACAAACATATACATATATATTTATTTATTTTTTATTTATTTTTTTTTTTTTTTTTTTTTTTTT